CTGATCGGGCACTATTACTATTCCAGGATAATTTAGAGAAACTGGTATAAAATTCTTCCCAGATTTTTCTTTAATTTTAATTTTGCAGCATTTGATTTAAAAAAAAAAAAATTCAGTACTTTGTACAGATAATAACAATGTAAAATGAAAACTCAAGTATGGATCACTCACAGAGCTACCCTCAAAGACACCAAATAAGGCTTGCTGAAGTCGCGTTACACACACAGCAACTTCCTCGTGGAGGAAATGCCCAATTCTGACTCTTGCTCATCGTACACTATAAAGAACCCACACTGAGTGGCTGGTCTCACCTAGCTCAGTCCCAGGCAGAGGAAAGGTGGGATTTAGTGGGGAGCTTGCCAGGAGTCAGCATTGTGCACAGCTGGACCCTCTCACGGCTTCCCTTTTACCCAGTGTGGGGCTGGAGACTGCTGGATGGAAGTCCCTAGTGAAGAGTACGGCACCTCCAAGTGAGGAAACATGGTCAGCCAACGCTCCACTACTGAAAACTATCTGGACATCTAATGATTCTGATTAAAGACACCAAAGTTCTCAGATACAAGAATGCAATTTCCTGTAAAGAACAGCAGTCACCTGCATTAAACAGCAGGTGTGTTAAATTCAGTTATTGGCTCCCCTGTACCTCACACCAATCATAACTCAGAAAATAGATAAAAAGGCACAGTATTCTCCATCTCCTCCCATTTACCCACATCTCGTCATTGAACGCAGAGTGGCCAAAAAAGCATAACCAGTGAAAGCATGCTTCGGTATTTCTCAGTACCTCTTCCAAGGTGGTGTCTGAGATCCCATAGCCGGTCAGGTGCAGCTGATGGAGGTTCTGATCCAGGGCCTGGAAGAGTCCTTTGAAGCAGGCCTTGTCGGTGTCCTTTGGGATGGTATAGGTCAGCTCACCCCTCCTGCTATCTTTGAGAAATGCTTGTGGAACATAGATCTGTATCAGTGACGTAACACAAGCTATGTCCTTCTGATCAGAGGCCTCCAGCACAGAAGCCTACCAAAAAAGAAAAAAAAAAAGGGAGAGAGAGAGAGAGAGAGCGAAACCAGTAAGAAACGTCAATCCAAATCTGCATTAATTGATTTCATGTATATTCATAAGCAAATTATTTTGAAATTCTACTTCAAAGCTTGAATGAGACATTACATTTAAATAATAAGTATTTCAGTGAAACATTGTGTTTTCCTTCTTTTTTTTTTTTTAAATATAAATCTACAGTGATAAACCCTGCAAGGCCAGGGCCGCATGCACATCTTATTTGCTGGGCATACTGTGGCCATCCTCCAGGGGTCTGTATCATGAGGTGCCCTCCTGGCCCAGGGATAATCACAAAGGAGACTCTGGACCTATTAATTGCAGTACAGGAAAAAGGGTTGGGTCTTCTTAAAAGGGAGACAAGGATTCCCCACTGCAGAGGAAAGGAGCTGTCTAAGGATGGCAAGATAGTCACCCTGAATTAGAGAGGAAGCAGATAGAAACCTTGATTCAGCAGTCAAGGGCAGACTTGTGGAGGGCCACCAACGGTCAGTTATAGCATTGAGAGTGGGGAGGTGACTTCCCACACCCCCTGAGTCCCAGCCCCAGAGCCACTGCCTCCCAGTTGGCATAAGCAATGATAACTACAAATGTGACATAGATTTGGCCTCTCGAGTACCAACCCCACTTGCTTTACCCCCCTACTACTGTGCTTCTGTCCTATGGTAAAGTTTTAGCTTCCTAAATGTAGTAGCATTTGTCAAAAAAATATTTCTAGAATACCTGGGTCATGATCCTTCCTAGCCCACACAGGGGCAGCAACTCCTACGACCTATCAGGTAATTCTGGTCCTTCATGCATTTCCTTCTAGCAATCAAAATGCATCCTCATGTGCACAGAGGCTAGCTCTCCTTGCTCTGCCTTGGGGGGCTTATTTCGGCATCTGGGCTATTATACAGAAAAAGGCCTCCACTAACATGCCATTGCTGTATGACTGTCACAATTCATTTCTTATGCCAGTGATAGAAAGGGAATAAGACAAAATGGTTGTGCTTCTTACTTGTTTGGTGAGTGTCAGGCTGAGTCCCTGGCCATATGCCTCCTTCAGGCAGAAGGGGGGCCCACAGCACCTGAGCCGCCCCTGCTGGAGGACGGCCACACGGTCACTGAGCATTTCAGCTTCGTCCAGGTGGTGAGTGGTAAAGATGATCGTGCGACCTGGGTCCAAGCACAGGGAGCATCAGTACCCACACAGAGGCCCTGAGGACCATCCATCCTTCCCTCGGAATGGTAGATGCAGGACACGATTTAAAGATCATCACCAATTTTTAAATTGGAAAAAATGGAAATGAGTCTAATAGAAATGACTTAGCCAAGCCCATTTTGCAAAATAGAGGCCCTGAAACTTGTTCTCTAT